TGTACGTCCGTACTAATTTGCATTACCGTACCGTACTACTTTACTAACTACCTTTGTACCTTGAGATCTATCAGATGACAAATATGTGTAAAGGAGCATATAACCAACCAGGCCGCCAGGTTTGCCGAAGGAAAAGGATACAGAAATATACCATATCAGGCCATTTGGATTGGTAGTCTGAATAAATAAGACTGACGGTTCTGAGTTTTGGCTAGTAGGGGATGATGGAGAAGATGCCAGAAAGATGAGTACTGGGGTTCTAGTGAACTTTATAAGGGTAAAAATAGTGTAACATAGCAGTTAAACAGGTAACTCCTGTAACTGCAAGTGTTAGGTAACTATAGCATGTTGCATAAAACTAGATTAGCTATATGTGGGACACAGAAGGTTCTAGTAAGTTTCCTGTTAAGGATAAACTAGTCCTAAGGGTACTTGAAGACATCAGGTACTTTGGATAGATGTAGCCTTGAAGATGTCCCTATGAGACATGGTGGACTACATATGCAGAAGGTTTAAATAGGCAAGACCTATAGTTGGCTTGCAGATATGGTACTTAGTGTAGAACCTGTATAGTAATATATAGATGGACTACTTAAATTAGGCACCAAAAGTGCATGTGTGACTAGTTGTAACCTTCAATGTAAGAAAGCACCTGGAGGTACTTGTGTCCAAATACATGAATAAAAACATCAACTTCTATAGACAGAGACTTTAACTCAAAAAAAAAATATCAATAAAAATATACTATAATTATTAAGTCTTTAAGACAGTTTATTTATATAAAAAAAATTTGAACTTGTACTAAACTATCAAAATTTTCTGTATTTTATTTTTGCAGCTGATTTAATAATACTATAATTAAAACCAATACTTATAGTTAGAACATACTATTAAACTACTATGTTTTTGTTAAGTTCATTTCAATTTTGTTATTTATTTTACAATATATTTCTAGTATTTTAATATTTAATTCAAGTTTTATTAAACTTTGAGTTTAAATAGTCCAAAAAAATAAATACAATCATATCTTTAGTTTATATATTTTCTAACATATAACCTTTTTTTCTGTTACCTTTTTCAGGGTTTTGATGATTTTATTGATTATAACAATTTCTTTTCAAAAATTAGTATATTATTTGAATTTACAAGTTTTAATTTTATTTTTATAAGTCTAATCTTTATAATAACATTATTAAAAGTTTAAATTATCTCTTTATTTAGGTTTTTTAAATAAGCTTCTGTCTTTTTGATTTTTATAATTTACATAACTATAACTTATTATGAATTTACACTGTCTGATATTAGTTTGTATTCTTTTATACAAGATATAATTATTATACAAATACTATATAACCTTCTAGTTATACTAATATAACATAAGTAATAAATATTTAATTCTAATTTATAACAAAAAACAACTAATCATAACACAGAAAGAATTTTAAATTTTATTAACACTAGGATTTGAACTCTAAGCCTATCACTTAAAGGTTAATAATATAATTACTTTACTATATTATTATGCTTTTTCAATATATTTAATAAATATAATATATTTAGGATTGATCAAATTACTAGTTGACCAAAAATTTGTTAATCAAACTAGTCTGGTCAAATTAGTTAAATGGTCTGATCAAACTGGTTAAATGATCTAATTTATTAAATAAATAATTTTAATATACAAATAAATAAATAAATATATATATTTTGTATATTATTTAACCAATTTGATCAATACTAAACCTTTTGACTAACTGATCAAATTGGTCAAACTGGTCTGGTCAAGCTTGACCATTGACCAGTCTGTGCCAATCCTAAATATATTATATATATATATTATATTAATGAATTATTAAAATATATAAATAAAGTATCAATATGCAATATTTAATTCTATACTAATATACAAATAATTTAATTTAATTTTATATAAATCCAATAAAATTGATAGATATTTTCAAATTTTAGACTTTTTGAATAAATAATTTAGGAAAACTTCTAAAATAAAGCTATGTATCCAAAATTGGGAATTCTACCAGTACAGTGAATACATGACTTATCTTCTTATTGGCATAGCAATGATCAACATAATCATTAATATTAAAATTTTAAACTCTAAATTAGGTTAAGTAAAATAATTGCTAACTATAAAATCAAAAATAATACCTTTATAATTAAGATTTGAGATAGATCTGGAATTATAACTATATATAATTTTTAATATAATACATATATGTCGTAAGTGGAAACAGAACTTAAGTTGATTCAGAAATTTTAAAGATAGCGTTGGGATTTTAAGTATAATTATTCCATTTATAATTTAATATGTGCGAAAAACTTATTTATTAGTTTCTTGTATAGATATAAATGAAATTAAAATTAAAATTAGAATTATAGTTAAAATTATAGTTAGATCTTATTATCTTTGTTAAAGTTTAAAATTAGAATTAATGTATTTGTAACAACATGTTACACGTAACAACCTCGGATTAGCCAATAGTAGTTAGAGTTAGGGTTTGGGTTACACGAAGTTTTAGTTATTTTTATTGGTCGTACTAATTGAGTTGTTACAAATAAGTGCGTAACAGGTTGTTACAATTAGATTCGTCCTTAAAATTTAAACTACTATCAAATTTTTGATAATATTCGAACGCTTAGTGTTCATTCTTTTTTTATATTAATGCTAATCATAATTATTCCATTATCTTCTATAAACTAAATACAACATAATACGATTAGAGATTATATAATGAAGCGCAATAACGCTGGAGTCCGAACTTTGGGGTGACATAAATTAGCCAATCAACTAATCATACGAACTTCTATGTTGTACACCCCAATACATAGTGAGTTAGCAAGGGCTTTGAATAAGACTGGGGGTGCAATAATACAAAGTTATATGGTAATTTGGAAGTTACTTTTAAGAATTTTTTTTTTCACGCAAAATATTTTTGTAAATAGTTATTTAAATAAAGATGGCAACTCCGGTTTCAACAGCAAAACAAGTGATATATTGTGGAAGTAAGGATTCATACCTTTTATCATTTTGGAGGCCTTCGATGAATCTTAATGTTTCTCGACTTAACGCTACTGGTATTTTTATTCGTTTGAAAAACAATAACGGGTGATAATAGTTTGTTCGTTGCCACCAGAGGTATAAAATAATAGTAATTTTTTTTACAATTTTAATAATGAACGTAATTAAACCTTTGTGATTTTGATTTATCTTTTTTAATTAATATACGCCGAAACAAAGTATTGCGAATTTGGGCCAACTCTTGATAAATGTAAAAAATGGCTACAGGAGAAGCAACCTGAAATGTTTGACAAACTATATTCTGAACGTGCTTATCGTCAGATTTTTAAATCTTTCATTCGATTACATTGAAATTTTCTTTGATTGTCATGTTTAAATTTTGTAGCTGAAATGAGCGAACAGTTGGCTAAAACATCATTGGAAGATCAAAAACCGAATAATGATGCAGAAGATAAAAAGAAAGCTAAAGGTTAGAATAAGTTACAAATTTGTATAGTACATAACATTATCTTTTGTGTGTCGTTAAGAATTCAATTTCCTATTACCTTAATAATTATTAGAAGCAGCAAAAATAGAAAGAGAATTGCAAAAAAAGATGGTAAGATGTTGATTTTGATGATTTAATGATACTTAAATCGGTAATATATTTTCTTTAAAATAATACCTAATCTATGCTGTCTTTTATTATTAGTCATCTAAAGTAATTATTACGCGTATTGCACGAAACAAACGGAAATGTGTCACAAACGTGTTTGGTTTGGAAAATTTTGGTAAATTGAAAATATACTTTTGCATTTGTTATTTTTTGATCCATTTTTATAACTATTGGTTCGCTTATTTAGATATTGATTTGAAAAAAGCAGCTAAATCATTTGCAACAAAGTTCGCTTGTGGTTCATCAGTTGTTAAGAATAATCAAGGAAATGATGAAATTGTAGTGCAAGGAGATGTTTCAGATGATTTATTTGATTTTATATTAGAGACATGGCCAGATGTATGTATTAAAAATTTTGCTTTTAATGTTGGAGTAATAATAAAAAAAAATAAAGGATATTTTATTGTTTTTTTTTAAAAACACTCTGATTTATCTAATTTAGGTGCCGGAGGATAATATTGAACTCACTGAAGAAAAAAAGCCAAAGAAAGGATAGGGCTTGAAAGAATTTGATGTAAAGTCTGGGTTCTGTAAGTTATGATTTACGTTATTTATAATACAAGGTTATGTAGATGATAGTATAGGTAATGTAATATGTTGATTATTATATTTGATACCTGAATCGAATTGTTCAATATTGAATAAATTTGACAGAACTCAACAATTATTTAAAGTCAAATCACGATTTCACCCTCAATTACTCTTTCATCTAGTCCAAGTTTTTTGATAGTTGTAAAATATCTTTCCAAACTTTCTCTTTTCAAATACTTTAAAAGTTTTTGACGTTTATGTACCAACTTTCGTAAACCACGATAATTGTGTTTATCTTTGCGGTTATTTTGGAGATGTCCATAAAGGTTTAGGATACGTACTGTCAATATCGCAGCTAATAATAATAGTAATAGAGTTAATATTCTCTTTAAAATTTTCAAAAATTCTCGGGTTTCATAATAAAACGCAAGATTAAATAATTCTTACCTTGGACTTCTGCGCTTCCAGTATCATTCTCATTCCTACCAAATTCTTCAACCGTTTTTTTAACATTATACATCATAATGCTTTTCGCATTCGAATTATGTAAACTAACCAATGATTTCAATATTTCAGCCTTTTTTTTTTCTTCTTCAATCAATCCTATTAAATTGTCAACTTCTTCACTTCCAACTTTATGTGATTTTTCAACTTCTTCGGCAACTTTCATTGGTGTTTTTTCAAATAACAGATCTTCATCTTTTTCGTTAAGAAAATAATTCATATACTGAGGTGCGTTTGGATCAGCTGCCCCTTTATAAACGTTTAAAGGTTGAAGTAAAGATTTTGTGAATTCTGAGGGAATTCCAACAATCGGATCAGGCATCGATGCCTTTTCGGCTTCTAATTTAGATAATTTTTTCGCAATGTTTTTTTTCTTTATTTCCTGAGGACGACGTTTTAATACTGGTGAAGTAGTATGAAATGTGCGCTCTGAATGTTTTTTTAAATCAATGAAATAATTATCTAAATTTGAAATTGAGTGTTCTCAGACTGAACATGAAATTTCCAAATTGTACCTAATATCGGTGGTACCAATAAACATGCTTGCGAAGAGAAATAACACGTACAACGAGTAAACATCGAATAAATTTTAAGAGTTAAAACCTTTACATATTACATGGACAGAATTATATATTATGATCGAGATTTTATTGTCCAATCATATTTTCGAAGAATATCTGATAATCATGGTAGCACAAATTAAGTAAGTTTATTTTTTCTACGTAACGCTGACGCTAATGCCACTAAAAACTTTTAAGTTGTCAGGATTAGATTTAAAATTCCATGGATGCTTGAGCTATGAGTAATAAAATAATTTTTTAAATAAATAAAAATGATAAGTCCTATCATTTTAAAATAATAAGAAAAAAAACCTACCGCGATTTTTGTGCCGAACTTCTGTCAAAATACCATTGACAAAGACGTCAAAATATTTGATATACGGCTTTAATGATGTTTTCTCGTAATCTTTCATAAAACGAATTTAGAAATAACTATAATTAAAATAAAGTTGATAATTAAATAGCGTATAAACAAGATACTTACCATGAACCTTTCGCTCTCCTTCAGTATATTGGTTCAATTCGTGGTATATGGAAGAAACTGTTGGTACTTTAAATGGATCAAAGTTTTCACAATCTTCCGGTTGAATCGGTACACAAATTCGTCCTATAAAAAGTGGTTATTTTTAAACATATATCCTTGTGCCTGTATATTATTAAATTTATTATTTGCTCATCATGCTCACCTGTTTTTGGATGTGCACAAAAGGGACCCTTCAATAAATGATTTATGTTTTTAGATACTGCTTCATCAATTCTTGGATAAGTATATTGAAACATTATCTCAAATTTACAGAATTGAAGTTGATCGGTTTTCTTTGAAAACTATAATTTAAATTCAATATATGTCAAATGAATATAATCATGTAAATTGTTATATCTCAAGGAGGAACATTTACCTTTTTTCCTGAAACATTTGCAGCATTGTCTAGTTCACTAACCAACTCCTTCCATTTTTCGACAGAGGATTTGAAATTCGACGAGTTCCATTTATTGGTCAATTTTTTTATTATTTCTGAAACAGTTCAAGTTAATTACAACTTTATACATATTTGACTTTTTGTTAAACAAAGATTATTTGTAATTTACCATCATCTGGGATGCAGTTTAAGACCTTGGACCAATTTTCTTCAGAACCCAATACATCCTGATCTTTCAATACGATATCCTCAAAGTATTTATCGATGATGTCTAAAGACCGCCTATACATTGGTTGATAGTAACTTTTAGTATTTACAAAACAAAAAGATTTGTATTTTTCAAGCAATTTACCTAAGAAATGGATGCAAAATTTTGTTAAAGTGTACTTTCTTATTGACTTGAGCACCACCCTAAGAGTTAAAAATATGAGAAAATAGATCACTTTAAGTGAACTGATATTGACTTAAAATATTATAAAAATTCGACCTTACCTTTATGACCGCAAGATATGATACAATTGCAGATCTAATTTCATTGCTCAACTTGCGAGCGAATTCATCGCAAACCCAGCAATGAACACCACGTCGACCAGAATATACCCAAAGTAAGTGTTTAAATCCGAAATCCTCTACCAAATTACGTGTTTTTAGTGAAAATATAACTTTAAAAAGTAATTTTTCAAAAATGACGACAAACCTCTAAGAGCAGTGTCAATTATCTTGATTGCTACAGTCATAAATTTCCAGCATTTATGGCATACAGATGCACCACTAAAGAACATGATATAAATTAACAAAAAAAGAAATTTAATTAGATTACATATTAATAAACTCAAATACCTGCAACAAGTTCGAATTTCATCATAATCAGTCATATCAATATCAAATATTAGTTCTTTCTCAATAGGTTTAAAGGCAGATGCTCGAGTAGCCTTTTTGTCTCTTGGCTAATATGGTATATTAAAACATATAACTTTATAACTTACTGTAGATAACAGCATTTAACAACATTAAACATACTTTAGCTGTATAAATTGCGCCAATATCGATCTTTGTAGGACACAATTTCATGATCTCTGCCTTCAAGTCTTCAGCTCCGTTGAATGATTGAAAACGTATATATGCATCCGAAGACAGAGTGAAACTGAGCTCACGAGCTTTGAATGCGTTATTGGAATCTGAAGGAGCATTATATTTGAATTTCAGGTATAAAAAAAAAAAAAATCCAACCAAAATGGATTTAATTTACCAATGCCATAATTCAACCAGTTGACATAAGTTTTGAAAGGAAATAATCTTGAGTAAAAAAATTTTAAAAGGTCCGGTGTAAACGCTTCATCCCCTTGACTGTAATAAAAGAAGTTAGCACTGTTTGTTAAATGATTATAAGAAATAAATTTTTAGTCTCTAACCTATCCATTGTGATATATCAAGATTCTTACGAGACAGACATACGCGTATTACAGTATTATATTATTAGACATGATTACCTGTTATTACGCGTATATACGCGGTATCCAATTGAAAAATTTTCCGAAAATAGAAATTAATCGAAGTTTTTTTTAGATGCCATCTATACACGTGAATATTAAGTGTAACCTGAATCTCCACTTATAACTTTATCATCATAAATTTCAGTAATGCCATTAATTATTATTTGCGGAATTCCCTCAAGTGGGAAGACCACTCGTGCAAAACAAATAACCCAATACTTTCTTGATAGGTTTTCTAATCAAGAAAAAACTGGAGCTGTACACTTAATCAACGATGAATCATTAGGAATTACGAAAGACAGTTATAAAGGTATTTGACATTCCTTCATAAATTATTATTACTATTATTATTTATTTGGTTATGATTTATTATTTTTTTTTCATTGCACGGATTCTAAATTATTTTTAATTTTGAGTGAAGATACACGTGTTGAGGAAAAAAAATCTCGTGCATCTTTAATATCAGCTGTTGAACGATTAGTTTCTAAAGAGGATTTAGTCATCGCCGATGGAATGAATTATATCAAAGGGTATCGGTATCAATTATATTGTATTGCACGAGCTGTTGGTACTCCACACTGTGTGGTAAGTTTTCCCCGGTGTTATCTTTTTGTTCATCATTAGTATTATTATTGATGCTCGCATTGTAGATATATTGTGGAACGCCGATCGAGATTGCTAGAGAGTGGAATTCTAATCGAGGTGAAGAAGGTTATGATGCAACAATGTCAGTATCAACAAAATACAAGTGACTCTTGATATAAGAAAGTTACCGGATCCAGTCAAAATCATATATCTTTTTATAAAATTCACAATAGGAACTTATAAAATCTTTCTTATATCAAGAGTTTCTTATATTTTATATCGAGAGTCACTTGTAATTTTTATTTTTATTTTTGGTAATTAGAAAATATGAAGGAAGTGTATAAATATAATTTTAATTTAGATTTGATGAGCTTGTTAGTAGATTTGAAGAGCCAGATGATCGTAACCGTTGGGATTCACCACTGTTTACAGTTTTGTATGATGATCCAGCACCTTCACATGATGGAATATGGGACGCTATTATTGTTAAGAAAGCAAAGCCGCCTAATTTATCTACTGTAGTGGTATGTAGTATTGCATTTATTACGATCCACTTGAAACGGCATTACCAGAATTTTATATTCACAGTTATATTACATTTTTGTAGAAACCTGTGAGCGAAACAAATTATTTATATGAACTTGAAAAAACTACACAAGATATTATTAATGCAGTTTTGAATGCACAAAAACATGACTCTGGGGCTGGTTCTGTTACTATTCCTAACACAACTCAAACTATATCCTTTTAATGCTTTTTTTATTTACTTTGTTAAATAATGTTTTAAGGTTGATTCTTTAATTGCCAGTGATTTTTTAGCACATTAAGCTTCCTTCGCGTACATTAACACTTTCTGAGTTAAGGCGGTTAAGAAGGCAGTTCACCAATATTAACAAGATGCATACGTTGTTAGATATGGATCGAGTAGCAGAGTTGTTTATCGAATATCTCAATACGAACATCAACCGATAATGAAAATGTTTTTACTAAATGTTATATTTTAAGTGCTTTAAAAAGATGGGAAAGTATTTAATAATAACGTAATAATTAGATTTTGGCTATCATCTCTAAGAAATAAATATTTATTCTTTTAGCTCTTCAGTTTAACCATAAAAATAATTTATTATTATGATCTTGTTGTGATAAAAGTAATCTCAAACTGGAATCCGAGCGAAAACGTGTGGTCACGTAAATTTTACGTATATCATGTAATAATTTGTAACATTTGAGACTTTCTAACGTTAATATTTAACAAAGATTATTATATATTGTCGATGTGATACTGTTGCGGAACAAAATTTTATACGTTCATTTTGTAATCTTTGCCAGTTTAGGCTTATAATATTTATTAGGCAAAATATTGCGATTTTGAAAAGTATACTACATTTGATACGCGATTTAACAAAGTCTATAAAGTGGTTTATGTGGTTTATTCTACCAACTATGTAATGAAAAATTAATTAGCCTACGCATTTTTTCTATATCGGATAATTTACGGCTCACTGTAGGTAGTCGATTTGATTATGGCTCGTGCCTAAATTAACTGTTATTAATAAAAGATATTCGGATATAACTTGATAAAAAAAACATTTGGTTAAAAGTGTTTTCAGTTACCTGTTCTCAAAAGTTATAATATATAATAGATTTATGCTTTCGAATTTATTTCAACTTTTTTTTTTTTTTTTTTTTTGTTCGCCCAGAGGAAACCTTCAAAAGGCGACTAGGAGTGTTATCTCCTAGACAGTGTGAGATTTTTACTCACTAAAACCTCTGGAGTAAATGTCTTTACAAAGTACAACCTGACTTGTAAAGTAAAAACATTTACGAAGCAAAGAAAACCCTGACAAGATTTAATAATTTTTTAAAAAAGCAAATGCGAATACTTACACTTGTCAGGGTCAAAGGGGCCTTGCCAGGGAGGAGTGAATCTGAAAACCAGATAATTTTTAACTACTTACCATGAAAGAAACCCAGTGTAGGGAATCTTTCAAAAACGAAAGGTTAAATAGGCGTAGCAACTGAACACAAGTGTGAACAGAATGAAACACTTATCTTAATCGTTTCCGAAAGAAAAAGTTCTTGTGTATACGGGTATAGAAAGAAATAAAGTAAGAAAAACTAGTATGCAAAAAAACTTTTAGTCGAAAATATTAATAATATCGCGTTGCTGATAAAAAGTAAAAAAAAAAATATAATCAAAAAAATGTGCCTTATATATCTTTTCTATCATCGTGTTCATACACGTTTTTTTGGGGGCTCACGCACACTTGATTTCCCATGCTCACATGATAAATATTCCAATCGCGTAAATTAGCCAATCACATTAATTAATGTTAAATCCGTCTTTTATTCTATACTATGTTGTAGGTGGAAACGGAATTTAAGTGGATTCAGAATTTTTATATAGAACCCGCATTTTAGGGTTGATTTTGTCATATATACACCCTAACCCCAATTTAAATAGGAAATTCCACTTACGACATATATAAAGACAATTTCGTATTGTATTATATAAAATTCAAAAATATTACAATACAGTACACCACTTATAGTAATGCAATAAACGAATAGAGGCTTTGGTATTGTATTGTATATGATACGAAGTAAAGATCAATACCATACGAACGTATGTATTTGTGTACATTTATTTTGACACACCTATGCAATGTCAACTTTCTTTATATCGAACCTTTTTATAAACAGCTTACTCTATAATGAATTTTCTTATCAAATTTTCTAATAAAACTTTCATTAACAAAAATCCTCTGAAAAACCTTTAAGGATTGAGCATGAAAAACTTGTAATTCAAAAGGATAAAAATAATGAATAGAAAAAAGAAAGTATTTTGTAAGAAAAATTTTAAAAGCTTTTATATAATTGAACTTCTACTTAATATGTACTTTGTGAATTGTTATATCGATATATGGGGCGCCATCAGTCAAAACGTCCCATAGTGAGATTATTAATATGTTACACAAAATGATAAAAAATCAGAAC